TTCCCCATCCATATCCACATTCAAAACCCTCCTATTTCAATTCCTATCCCAAAAACAGTCAGATAGTTGCTAACCATTCGAGCTGATTTTAATAGAGAATTTGATACACTTTTATTTTTTTCGTAAAGTGTATACTGGTCTATATAAGCAAACAGCTTTAAGTGTCTTGTCATAGTATTAATGGTTTTGTATATAGTTTAGTTTGTTTTGTATATAGAATTTTTACCTTATATTTTTTTTTACATTATTTCTTTTTTTCGATTGATTTTATTTTGGCCAGATGTAATATATTAATTTTGTTCTATTTTGTTATTCTCAAGGGACTGTGTCCCAGAATAAAGTTATTTTTCTATTTTTATTTCATTCATCGGGACGATTTCAATCTGGAGGTCGGCAAACTTTGTTTATTTAATTAGGGAATAAAAACTCGTAAATACCCATTTGCATTCCACTTGAATCGTTAGATAACTTCCAACCTCGGGTAAATCTAGGAATGAATTTCTTAGTCAATACACATCAACCAAATGTTATTTTTGATCAAACCCTCTTCTGGAAACCACACATATCCCAAATTTCCTATCTCCATCCTAAAACAGTTCAATCGCCTACGTTATCTCCTTCCATATAAATCCCATCAACTCCTAGTTTTCTCCCTTGTTTTCCCCCACTTCGACTATGGCTGCCTGGTGTACGATGGACTCTCGGGAGATTCCGAGGCCAAACTTAAACGCCTAAGGAATGGCGCACTACATTTTGTTTTCGGAATCTCAAAGGATACGAATATTATCCAGTATCACACCGAGTTGAAGTGGCTCTATCCATCCTATCGCCGTCAGTACTTCCTAGCACGGGCGGATCTACGGGGGGAGGGACTTTCGGCCTGAAGTCCTCTCCCCCCCAAAAAATTGTAAAATATAACCAAGTCTTAGGAAAAAAATATTTAATAATTAAATCTAAAAGTATTATTATTCATGTTATTACATTTGATAATATTTAAAGAATCACTTAAACTATATTTTATATAGTTAGTTCCTTTATTTTTCTTCCTAATTAATGATCGTTAGATTTTTTTTTTTAAATCTTTAGGGCTGAAGCCCTCCTTACCAAAAACTAAATCCTGGATCCGTTAGTGCTTCCTGTCCTACCTGTCTGTACCAGAACATTAGAACTCATCGACTCTCCTATATTTTTAACAGCTTACAATTTAAATACTCAATACAATCCCGTCCCACTAGACCTCGTAATTCCGACATCTATCCTCCTCCTCACCGAACAGCTGCGTCTAACAAATCCTTAACTATTCAAGCCGCCCCCCACTGGAATTCCATTCCTGCTGATATTCGACATGGACACTCAGTTTGCTCTTTCAAACACCTACTCCTCTCTCAATCTGCCTGATTACAAAATATACCTAAAAGAACTATCTAAGTATCCCCAGAAAATATTTCTCTTATTATAGTTTCTTTTATTTACCTTAAATATATATACACTTATCTTGTCTTTTTCTCTCTCTTCTTCTGTCTTTTTACTTTTAATTAACTATTATTCTATTATTGTAAATATTTAATTTATTTACGACCACACAGCCATGCAATCTGTACTTATAATTTGTTCTGAAGGGACAACAGTCCCAGAATAATAAAATATTTCATTTAATTTCATTTCATTAATTAGCCAAGCACACAAATGGTAGCGATAGAATAATCGATAATGGTTTACTAATTAATAGTATATTAGTACGTCATTCTTTTCTATTTGGTTTCTGACTCATTTACCATCGAATAATTTTTTTTTTTGTTATCCAAACAACCACTAATTAATAGCAAACAATTGTTATACCGATTGGTAACTAGCTAAGGTTTGTTAAAACAGATGCAGAACTATATAACGAAAAATATATAACCATCAAATTTACTCTTCTAATTCGATATTGAAGTTTTTTTTCTATGATACATAGAAAAGAGTGTCTTGAAAATAATTCAAGCAATTACGAGCGATTACTTGAAATCAGATTCTGTACTGATTTATATGATTTTCTCGTGCACAGATCTGAAGATATTTTTTAAACTCGTTATATCAATGTATAATTAAATGTTTTAAGCTTGAGAAGGGCTCTAATACATAAGATCTGTCAGGTTTTAAATGCCGAATTTTTAAGATGGATTCCTCTAAATACCTCTAATATGCATCATTGGAAATAAATAACAGTTTCTCATGTTTAGTGGTAATAAGAAATGGCTAAATATAAACTATAAAAGAATTGGATAATCAACATAACTCAAACTACTTTACCCTATGTTTTCTAAATCTTAATAATTGAAACTGAGACTGAAACTGAATACTTGTACATACCTATTTTAACCTATATGGACATACTTCTCACCACTTATGGATCCAGGACTTAATTTTGGGGGAGACTTTTACAGCCCAAATGATTTTTTTTTGTACATAAATATCTGTATATGAAAAAGCCGAACGTGCTAATGCGTGTGCGCAGCACCGTGAGTTGTCCGGCAATTAGATAACCAAAGATATGAGAGATTAAAAAGTACGAGTTCGCGTCCCTGTGCCGGAGGGGATTTTAAATTCCCCGGTCCAGGAAAATCCTGTATAGCCTAAAAGGCAAGGTAGGGAAGAACAGAAGAAAATATGAAGTGGTGTGCTTAAGTGATTTTTAAGTCCTATTAAATGTAATAAGACGAACAATGATACTTTTACAGATAATTTTTTTCATAAAACATGGTTATATTTTACCATTTTTGGGGGGGGAGGGGAAGGAGGAGGGAAGGGAGATTTCAGCCCGAAAGCTCGAAATGATAATGATATCTTCTGCCATATATATATATATATATATATATATATATATATGCTATACATATATGCTATATGCTATATATATACATACATATATATATATATATATATATATATATATATATAAAATCTAAAATGTCTAAATTATTCTCGTCACCTATTTCCATTTGAAACCCGTAGGCTCCTAGTCACTTCTTTAATTTTCCCCCACTTTGACTATTGCTGTACGGTATATGGGGCGTCTCTGGGGATCTCGAGGCGAAACTAAAACGTTTAATAAATTGCTTTGTAAGATTCATCTTCGGGATACCAAGGGGCGCCTCTGTTTCCCATTTTTATGCAGAGTTGAAGTGGCTTTATCCTTCCTACCGTCGCAAGTATTTCCTGGCATCCTTCCTCTTTCAAGTCATCCAATCCACCGTCCTTCATACATCTCCGAGCTCCTTCAATTCAAATCCTCTGTTCGTTCCCGCAATACTCGTTCCCGGTCTTCTGATTTATACATAAGGCCCACCGAACCGCTGCTTTCGACAGATCTTTCATTATCCGATCCTCATCCCTTTGGAACTCCATCCCTTCTCACATTCGTCAATCTAATGTCCTTCCTCCCTTTAAATCCCGCCTGTTCAATCATTTCTTATCCATCCAGTCCCCATGAAATTGTAAATAGATACTGATGTAAATATGTATATAAATTATTAGCTCGTTCTTCATTATTTTTATTTTCTCCTTTTTTTTATTTTTTTATTTTTTATCATTAACTGATTAAAATTAGAAAGTAACTTATAATTTTTTAATTTTATTACTATGACGGTTTAATTAGTTCTTTTTAATTAGTTCTTTATTTATGTATCTCTGAGGCTCCTTAGCCCATATTTATGTCTTTCTGTATTATTCTAAAGCGACTCGTCCCAGAATAAATATAGTATTATTATTATATATATTTTTTTGGTTGGTGCTACAGACCATGAAGATCTTTGTCTAGATCGATTCCGATATATCGATTACCGATTTAAGTACACGGAGGTAGGGTCATCAGTCCTATGCCCGGTCGGTGTGAGTTGCCTCCAGTAGTCTGATGGGTCTCACATACCCGGGGAGGAATCTTGGGCAGCTTGGCTTTCCCCTGGTGGGCGGTCACCTATCCAAGTGCTAACCATGCTCGGCGTTGCTTAACTTGGTTACCTATTGCAAGCGCCTTAGCTCGCACGGCTATACCAGCCCCTCTCCCCATTATATATATATATATATATATATATATATATCTATATTTTTTTTTTTATAGAGTCCATATACATTTTCTTCCTAAATGTATAAAAACACGAAGCCTGCCCTTCAAGACATAACCTATAAATGTGACCAACGCTTAATATTCTTATTAAATATTGTTTAAAATTTTATTATTTCTTCTAGATAGCTAACCATTATATTATTAAGAGTAATTGGATGGATTGGGAACACAGCTGCGCAAACAGTCTAGAGGAGGAAATTTCGCGTGTATTAATTCCGTAAGACTTTCTAGAATTAAAATTTTAAATCTTCGGAGGCAAATATTGGCTTTCCAGCCTCAGCTTGCACGCGAAGAATCCAACGAGCTAGTCTATGTTTATTTTTTATATCTCTATGTACACTTCTAATTTGTTCCTCACATTGCTGATTGTTCTACAAACAGATCCCTTCGTTAGGGAGATCAGGTGATGCGAAATTAACGAGTTCTCGATCATTACGTCAAGATTTATAATTGTATAAATATTGATCGAAATCATAATTTTTAAGAACTTGAAGATCATCATGATTATGAATATTTTTGAATAAATGAATCGCTTACGTATAATAGATTGGCTGTGAAATATAGAAGCACGCCATTTTTTGTACAGCCTCATTTCGGTGCTCTTCGTCATATTAATGTAAACAATTAATTACATGTCGCTAATGTTAGTACAATATGTCGTATGTAACTTTTTATAAATGTTTATACTCTTTGCGTTGAAGGTAACATTCTGCAGTCTGCTAATTAAATCCAATTGCAAAGGTCAATTTTCTAAACTAAAGCATCATATTAATGTTGAAGATTCCACTTAAAATGTCTATTATCGGTATATTTGACTTATGTATACTTTTATTTGGCCCAATTCACTTAGTACCTTGAAGCATCCTAAGAAATAATTTTCACTTTGTGCTTGCAGAAGAGGAGTGCGATGCAGAGGAGAGAAGAAAAGGAGGGAAGCCAAGGAGGGTGAGGACAACCTTCAGTTCCAGCCAGCTGGAGGCGCTGGAGAAGGTCTTCGAGAGGACCCACTACCCGGACGCCTTCGTGAGGGAGGAGTTGGCACGAAGAGTGGGTCTTTCGGAGGCCAGAGTACAGGTTAGTAGGCTCTGTCTTCGGCAGTGCAGTAATAATTAGTAATATGTAAGAATATGATTTATTTTAATTTAAATCGTATCAGTAGAGGGTGGATTTGAAAGAAAAATCCTCCCCACGATTACCGGAGTCATCAGAGATCAGAGTATTAAAACATGGAGGATGCTTACAGAAACTGGTCAATCAACATCTCAGAATGTGAAGGCAAGAAAGTTAAGAAGGTCAGGGAACGTAACTCATAAGATGAAATAGAGCTGGGTGCAGATAACTGGAAAGAAATAGCCCAAGATAGGCAGAGCTGGATAAAACGTGTTAAGGCGGCAAAATACTTACTTTTTTTTTTTTGTCTTTCCCTTCCTCGCCTTTGAGGCTATACGGGGTTTTAACGGGCCAGGGGGGGTTTACACTACCTAATTAAATGGACTAACATTGCCGAACTCCATATTGAAAACTAGGCCCCAATCCTGATAATTTTCGTAAATAAAATGTTTATGTCCGCCGTCCGTGTATTTTCTCCGAAACTACTCGTCCGATTTTTTTTCAAATTTGGATTTAAAGTCCGAGGTCATCCGAGGATGATCCTCCTACATCGACATTACTTTTGCCGTTTCATTTTAAGATGGCGACCGAAAAACCTGTGTTGGTATAGATTGTAGAGCCTAGACGAATGTGCTGATTTCAATGAAACTTGGCTAAATACTTCTCGAAGGTTGGTAAAATTAGATTTCCGAATAACTTAAAAAGTATTTTATTTACGAAAATCTCGGAAATAGGAAATTTTAAATCTGGGGATCGGTAACGTTATATACTTAATAAGGTACAAAAAACTCATGAATTTGCTTTCTACTTAAATCGTAAGATAATTTGATTAGTGAATCGAGAAAAAACGTGACCTACAAAAATATTGGGCCGTTTGGCGTGACGTTAAAATAACGAAGTTAGGCCAAACGGAAAACAAATTATTACCTGTGAATTTTTAGAAGCTTAGTAAATGAATTAATTTGATGAATAAACGCCCCATTTCTCAAAATTTTCGTAAATAAAAAGGTTGTAGGTTACGATGAGATTAAGCTATTTACGGAGTTCTAGCCGGATGTTAATAATTTGATAAAAAGGGGTCTGTACCACGGACAACTAGATGGTCCAAAATAGATTTTATCAAATTCTGTCAACTTGATTTGCTTAGACGTTTCTTCCTTGACAAGCCTATAAGGTAGCTGACACCAGATATCCTCCTCAAAAAATGGGAATAATAAGATTGTATTTTTTTTTTTATTTTAAGTTTGAGCAAACTAAGAAATCAAAAATATTTTTCGATTTTCAGTATTATTCATTTTTAGCTGGAAAAGTTTAAGAAATGTACTTATGTTATGAAGGCTGTCCCCCTTCCTTCCATGTTTAATAGATCCAAATTGTAATATATCCAATTTTTTTATAAATCCAACTTCTAAACAAATATATATATACACATATTATTTATCTCGTTTCAGAATAAATATGTTGATTTTTTACACGTAATAAGAACTACTGCCATTTATTTATTTTTTTTTTATCCCTCCTCCCTCTCCCCTCCCCCCAATCGAAATGGAAAGTCTGCGCCTATACTTGGAGAAAGCATACGAAATAATTACATAAACTGTAAATAATTCATTACTGTATGTTTTATTTTTATTAGGTATGTGTATATTTTATGCGCAACCCCAAACATGATCTTGAAAACATTTTATTTTCTATATTTATATTTTTAAATAAAATTGTTTTGTATTAGCTTTTCAGTTAACGTAATTACTCCAATTTAAACAGTTTTAACTTTAAGTGTTTAACTTTTTTTAAAAGTAATAATTATTAATATGTATGCATTCTTTTGAAAGCAATAAGAATTTTCAAACGAGAAATATTATTAAATGTACTTTTATACATATTATGAATAATATTATAGATAGGTATAATTAATAAACCACAGTAGTTATGTATCATCGAGTATTCATAATTAAGATTTTTTTGTTCATGCTGCTATTGATGAAGAATACGTGAGTAAACTATTCTATTCTTTTTAGAATGCTGATAAGGGAGAGGCGCTGAGATCTCCTAGAGTTCTGCCTTTCCCTCCACGAGTGGAGAGAAAGGCTTGGCTCGGAGATCTTGAGTGAATGAATTTTGTAAATATTTTATAAAAGTATGAGTGTATTTAAGTAGTTATTTTGATTAGTTTAGTTTATTTTTGTTTAATTTAATTTCTTTTAATTTATATACATTTATTTTTAGTATTATTTATTGTACTTAGTTTGAATGAGCAAATCTTCTATCAATATTACTATTGTCCTTAGATGTGACGGATTGAAAAATTTCTCAATAAAAAATGAAACTTAAAAAAAAAAAATTCTTTTTAGTATTTCTTATTTTATCTCCTCTCCTTTTAGAGGTGGTAATTGAATTTAAAAATTCTAGGAAGATAACTTGTCATAGCAAACCTCAAAAAATAATTTTATATTCAATTACGTGTATTTTATACCTGTCCATCACACCCCCTCCTCCTCCTAAGATATTTTATTACTCATCGTTTCTTAAAATCAGAGCAAAATTAGAAAAATCTTAGATCATATAATATTACACTTGCTGTAGTCTGTGCCATGTTTTCCTCTTATCGTGTCTTAGTCCGAAAATTCAAAACCCATCGAAATTTGCCTCCCTCGAAAATTCAAAACCCCATCAAAATATGTCCCTATCAAAAATTTTGATGGCGCAACTTGCGTTTGATGGCACAAGTTGTATGCTATCCTTTGTTTTTGTTAATAGTTACTTCCAATTAAACAACAATTGATTTATTTGTTGTATTTCCAAATTACATGTTTACATGTTAACGTTTCGGGAAATTTACTCCCATCTTCAGAACTACAATCCCAATGTTTTTTTTGTTGATTCATGGCTTAAATCTAATGTGACTCCATTGTCAGGTTCTAAATTCATGTTATAATAAATTAAAGTATATAATATCCAGAGCATCATCATGCTTTCAGACCAATTATTGGGTGTCTGCCATCTATCATTACTGGTGTTTCACATGGCAGGCACCCAATAATTGGTCTAAAAGCATGATGCTCTGGATATTATTATTATATACTTATTAATTTATTATAACATGAATTTAGAACCTGACAATGTAGCACATTAGATTTAAGCCATTAATCAACAAAAAAACATTGGGATTGTAGTTCTGAAGATGGGAGTAAATATCCCGAAACGTTAACATGTAAACATGTAATTTGGAAATACAACAAATAAATCAATTGTTGTTTGATTGGAAGTCATTATTGCCAAAAACAATGAAAAAAAAATTATTGTTCTCAAAACCGAATATTACCAAATGTTATACGTTTTGGATATCAAGGAACAAATTCGGTCCCGTGTTCTTTTGTCAGTCTGTTGCATAACAATTTCATCAAATTTCATTCCCTAAGTTCGCAAAAATTGTATTAGATACAAATATTTTTCAAAATCGGCTAGTTAGATTTGACACAAAAATAAAGAAGAGCTTGAATTCTATAAGATGAAAATTTGTATATAAGTTTTTACAATGCTCCCTACTTTGTCACCAATAAAATAATCCATAATGACCTTAATGTTCCTTATGTTTCCGATTTGGCCCAATCCAGATACCTATCCTTCCATAATAAACTTCAGAACCATCCGAATCCTCTCGTTTCTAACCTGATTTCCTATTCCATCCCAGATAACACTCCGAGACGTGTGAAAAGAAGATGGCCTCGAGATCTCCTATTGTAAACACATTTTTTTTTGTTTTAGAGTGCTACCAGTGGGCAGTTTCTCAATAATAATAAATAACAAGTGATTTCATGTTATTATTTTCTGTTATCAAATTTGCTAAATGTATTTTATTTATTAATACAGTTGTAAATATCATAAATTCAAAAGGTTTTACAGGTAAAAGTTTAAAGATATTCGCTTAAGCATGTCAGCTATTGGTGCATAAACCCTACTTCAAAAACTGCTTATCTTGTAGATTTTATTCTCAAATAGAAAATAATAAAGCTTGTGATTTTGGCATTATGCAACCAATAGAAGTGATGAGGAACCTATACTTTTTTTCTTTTTTTTTTTTTTTGTAATTTAACTTATAATGTTATATCATACACTGTGTAATAATTATCATTATAATTTCGAATTTTCACCATTTAGGTTTGGTTTCAAAACAGAAGAGCCAAATTCCGGCGGAACGAGAGAAGTATGAGGGGCACTGATAGCACGCCAGCTGAGCAGCCCCTCGCACCAAGGCCTGGTGAGGCAGCTTTATTTATTTATTTTAGTTTATTAATTTATAATATCTATATTTCAATTATAATATAACTAGTAGGCCCGTGCGAAAAATTCGCACAGCATATTGTTATCAAATGCCAAATTAATAAGCATATAATATAATGCAACTTATCAAAAGATAAATAAATCAATTGTTACTTTATCGATAAATATAATCGACAAAGGAAACAAAAATTAATTTAATCTTTATTAATGTTTGGAACTAACATGTTTACAAATTTCAATAATCTGTATCTTAGCTCAAAATTGTCCAATCTCGATGATAATTTTTTCCTTTTGTAGGGAATTTAGTAATCTTTTATATAATCATGGGCATAATCAAGGGAAAAGAGTGTAATTTTCTAGTTATTCGCAAATAAAGTTTGTTTTCTTTCATAACTTGTTTGCCTGAATTTTCGGGATGATTGGACTATTTTGCCCACCTGAAGGAGAAGAAAGCCTTCGAAATTGGTGGCTCAATCTTGAGATTTGGTGAAGAATTAACGATGATATGGCTTGCCGATCAAAAACACCATCGGTAAATAATATAAACTCCTCTCTCGATCATAGAGGCCTCAAGTTGACGAAATGAGACATGTATTCAATGACAGTACTACAATTAATGTAAGGTGTGGACGTGAACCCTATACCTTGCGTTATCTCCATTAGCGGATCCAGGATTTAATTTTGGGGGGGCTTCAGCCCGAAAGATTTTTTTTTCATATACATATAACGATAATTAATTTGAAAAAAAATAAAGAAATTAATTACCTATATGAAATGGTGTTTAAGTGGTTCTTGAAGTCCTATTAAATAAAATTACACGAACAAGAATACTTTAAGAGATAGTTTTTAATATTTTTTTCTGTAAAACATGGTTACATTTTACCATTTTGGGGGGGATTCAGCCCGAAAGCCCACCTCTCCCCTCCGTAGATCCGCCTGTGGTTATCTCGAAAGTAGTACGCTTTTGGGCTTAAAAACGCAGGATCCGATAGTTCCAAAGGATAGTTCTGGGTCTTGCTGTACGCATCAAAATCTTCAAGATCCAATTTGTCCCGTATCGATCTACAAATCTACCACCGTTCCAGTATTCTACGATCTTATCTTTAACCAATAAAAAAATAGAGCTATTATAACTTAATGATTGAACTCCGAAACTATACAGAAAAACTTCCTTTTCGTAATTTTCTTCATCACACAGCTCTTAATCTGTTTATCATACAGTATATTATATTAGCTAATATATGAACAGTATGTTGTTTTATAAACAGATTAAGAGCTGTGTAATAACGAAAATTGTGTAAAGTATGTTTTTCTGAATAGTTTCGGAGTTTGATCATTATGTTATGATTGCTCTAGTCTTTGAATGGTTGAAGATAGTAAACTAATATATATTCTTTAAGAAAATTTCTATGGATTTTAATGTATATGAAAAATTCACGGCCTTTTTTATGTTTTTATATGTTTTAATTATGTTATAATTTAATCCTTTATCTAACTTTTTTTTTTTAAGGAGTTACAAATTGGCAGAGCTGTCAACAATACCCAATGGTCCATCAGCATCCAAACCCACCACCGCCTTGTGCCTTCATACCCCCAGGTATTATTTTTACAAATAAATATTAGAAATATTAAGAAAATTTAAATTAGTACACACAAAAAAATATATATAAAACATAATACAAAATTGGAAGCAATAATCAATACAGAAAACTTTATTTCCTACAACTTTTCAAAATATTTGTATATTATAGTAAAGGGTTATATGAATGAAATGAAGCAGGAACAATGTATGTTCAAAATTGGGTGTGACAGTCACTTTACTGCTGAGACCCAGAGATGATCTCCTCTAAAATAATGAAGATTAGTTGTTGGAGAGACACATTATATGTCCTTCATGGGTGTCTGAAATCTGAAAGGCCAGGAAGTGGGGTAAAAGATATGCCTTCCAAGTAGAACATGTGCCCACCATGGGAAATATGGGATCTCTGTCGATAGGCAAAGGATTAGTCGTGCTGCATGCACCAACAACATTGACAAAGCAATCCTTAAAAACAGTACCCTCTGTATTGAAGATCAACTTTTGGCTATCTTCAACGATTGATTTTATGGAAGATACTTCACAAAAAAGTGGATATTAACTCTGGGATATTCTGTTGCAACTATTGAAATTAATGTAAAATTTTGTTCATATTATTGAAAGAATTGTGAAGTTTTGTTACGAACATTGAAATTTTTTTTTTATATAGTATATAACAATTATGTGTTACATAGATTACATGTGATGTTATTTTTAAGAAATTCTCTATTTTAACAGGCCTGCCAACATACACCACACCGAGACTGGCGCCTCCACCACCACCTTGCAGCTTACCCTCCAATGTTGCCAACTTCCGCTTCAGGCCGCATGAATATTATTCACCCCACATATAATAATTTATAATTTGTTGCCAATAATGTAAATAGTTATCATCAACCACTTATTATAACCTCTAGGAGTAAGTTTGTTGCAATGTAAAAATAATTAGTTTTGTTTGTATTCTAGTCTAGAGAGAAACCTGTGTTCTAGAATGTAAATTATTAGTTATATGTTATATGAGTGCAAGGGTGGACTTTGTGAGGTAATTTTACTAAAGTATATTTTATGTAGTTATTCTACGGTTTATATAGATAGATGAACTTTTACTGCTAGCTATAATTTATATTTTACAACCTGATCCTATGTTATGAAGGAAAATATGTATTTAGACATACAATTATCAATAATTTAATTATAAATTAATGAAACTATCAATCTGTATATATTTATTTTAATAAAAAATATAAATTCACATCTATAAGCTTCATTGAATGACTGATATCTATCCTTAATGTTTATCAATTTGTTAAATTATATTTGGGAATGAGTTATCATATCCAAAAATGAGTTATGACAGCTGATTGATAGAAAAACTAAAATTGATAATAACCAATATGTCTAGGAACAACTTTAAAAATAAATAGGAGGTATTTAGATCTGTTTTTTAAACTAAACTGAGGTTCTTAAAAGAACTATAATAAAATTAAACTTAACTCTGACCTCTTATGTTTTTTGTAGGATATATGCAGACCATATAATTATATCATATATACCATATATAACTGAACAACAGTTTATTGCCACTAGTCTGACAGTTGCAGATTCGACAGCAACTTTGGCATCACTAGCATGACAATTGTCATCATCATTACTAACTAACAATGATAATATGCAACCAAACAATAAACAAAGATACTAAAGACAAAATAATGAGCCACAAATACGTTTTTAAAAAATTCACTATTTACATTTTTCATGTTTATGATTTTTTTATAATATTAAAATTTATTTTAACTTCTATTAGTTACTTTCTTAAAGGGCCTCACAAGGGCGATTTAGTATTATTATTATTTTATTTTTTTTTAATAAAATGATAATTTGATTGCAAAAACAATACTTAAATTTCAGATAACCTTGTAGATTTCTGTTAATTTATTTACCTTCAAAAATTAATCCACCAGGAACCCCTAATAGTCTAAACCCTCTGATGAACCTCGGGACCCGATCATTTAGTTTTTAGTAATCTAGGATTTTTTTCCAATAAATATTTTTTTATTAAGTTTCCGCCCAAAAATAAGTTATTAAGTTTCAACTAAAAATATCACTAAATTGACATTACTCAAAAATGTTGAAATTGGAGTTAGTCATTCTGTGGTTTATAAAAGCAAAGAAAGTTGTGTGGTTTATAAAAGCAGATAAAGTGACTAGATTTTTATTGGCTACCGTCGATATATTAAATAGACATTTAGTAATTATAATGGTCTTAATGACTTGTTATCTGTAAGCTTTAAGCTTTAGCTCCGTTTAAAATGCACTTCAAAAAATTTTATAATAGCATTGCCAGAAAATAATTTCTATTCAAAGTAGAGCGGTAAGTGAAAGTTGTGTGTTGCTAGATTGCTAGTAAATAGATTTTTTAAAATCTATTTACCTTTAAAAATTAATCCACCAGGAACCCCTAATACTCTAAACCCTCTGATGACGGGGCCCGATTATTTAGTTTTTAGTCATCTAGAATTTTTTTCAAATAAATATTTTTTTTATTAAGTTTCCGCCCAAAATAAAACAGTTTTCAGTACTTCGAAGTATGCATTCATTATTTAGCAATTTACAATTAATTTTACTGTAATTAGAATGAAACGTTTATTTGAAGTTTAATTAGTAAAAGCTAGAAATATAATTAACATCTTGTAAATTATAAATTAAATTACAATGTAATTTTATTGATTAAGCAATTTTCCATGCCTAAAATAAATCTAATCAATCAATATATATGCCGATTGAGTTTAAAAATGCACAAAAATAAATATTGACCAAATAAGCAACATGAACATTTCCTAAAAGATTTAGAGTAACTTTTTTCATAAAGATATTTACTTACTTTTTTGAAAAAATAAAGCAAAACCAATCTACATTTGCAAATAAATCAGAGCCTTAATGATAATAATTACATTCAAATGGTCTATTTATGGCAAAAAGAATTTTACAAATCAGCATGTTTTTCTTTTAATGAAGTTCGTTTAGACAAACTATTCAGCTATTAGGAGGTGTAACTTACTCCGTTCCAATGGGTCTCTTTTAACTTAATAGAACATAAATAAATATAATTATGTGAACATCTCAGGTTCTAAAATTGTTTAGATTTATAAATTAAATTACAGTAAGGTAATTATATATAAATTAAATATAAAGAATGAAGGTACTTGTATGTTATGAACATAAATATTTTAGCAATGTAAACATAAAAAAAAAATCAAGATTTCGGACCTAGATAAAAAATTCTTAGACAATAAAATGGCAGATCCTAAAAATAAATAAATAGATTTATATGTTGAATAAACATTTCCTATTGTAATATTGTTAAGGAGTCAAATATTATGATTTAATTATATTTTTTTACTTTCTAAATATTATTCATGTTATCCTGACAGAAAAACAAGGAAAAAAATTTAAATGGTGAGTTACCTCAAACTTGAGTAATCACAACAATAATAAACAAATAACAGATTTAAGAAAGTCGATAAAAACTACTAAAAATATTAATTTCATTAGGGTAAACGCACCAGTTATGGGCAGGTTAAACTTTAAATGTAAATAATAAGCTTCCTTGTTGATTTAAAGGTTTCAGTTTTTTCTATATTGAAGAACAATGGCCGTTATTGACAAGTGTATATATATAGTTCCCAAAAGAAAATTTTAAATTGTCTATCATTTTTGTTTCTATAGATCTCTTGAGATCAATATGTTTCATCCTTCCTACTAACAGATTTGCTAAGAGTAAGTTGAACATTTATCTTACCTTTATTGTTATCTTTATAGTTAAATATAGATTATAGAATTTTTCTGAGGTATGTCCATTACTGGTATCGACCTCCATTACTAAAACAATTGAATTTAGAAAAATAGAATAGGGAGATCTAGAGATTCTAAACATCAAATGGAGAGGTTTATAACTATAATAATTACAGCGGCAAAAGCCAAAAAAGACAAAAATTTCCTTCGCTATGTCCATCACTAGTGCGCTTACCCTACTTTAAACCTGTATAAAAGGAATATTAATATTCATATTAAGGAACAAATCTTACCTGGTTTTTGAGTGCGTCGAGTAAGATGAGAAATGAGGACTGAAGAATGGCGGCATCACATGCAATATAGGTAGAGGTAGGAGGATTTAGGAATATTTTAGAATATTTTGTTGTCATGCATCAGATATAGGAATAGGCACAGACTTGGGAACCCCCTCCAATAAAATTATTGAAATGGCGAGAATATCATTTCATCCCTTCCAATAATTTGAAGTAAAAAAAAATTAAAAACTAATAATTTACATGACTGAAGGTTTTTTGTACCTTAAATGCTTACCCAGCGTAATAGCAGACATCATCTTTTTATTGTTAATATCGTTTAAAAACATGTTTTATGGAGAAGGTTTATATAAACATTTCTACGAAACTATTAAGACTATGAAAATGTGTTTTTATTTTGAGGTTATAGAAACTAAGAAATTAAAATATATTTTCAGTTTTTAACATTATTAATTTTTAGTTTAAAAAATTCTATAAATGTACCTATATTGTAGGAGCTGTCTCTCTCTCCCCTCATGTTTAATGTATACAAATTCAATATATTTTTATGTTCAGATATTTTTAAATTAAAAAAAATGACAACTACATTAAATTTATTTTTAAATGTTTAGTATTACATCATTTGTTTCAAAATAACTATATTAATTTTAAAAATTTACCATTTTAAATCATTTTTACACGTAATACAAACTCCCGCCACATTTTTTTTATTATTTTTTTTTTTGTCATTGCTCCTCCCAATCTGGATGCAAAGTCTGTGCCTAGAGATATAGGTAGACTGGTTTAGAAAGATTTTAAGGTTTTTGGTTAGATATATGCGTTAACAAGAACAAACAAATATTTCCAAGTATTAAATAGTCTCTATCTTTGAACTTCAATATAGAATTTTAGTGGTTTGATCTAAATAAAAACTCGGTACTGTTCTTAATGGATATTCAACTGCAGTAATCAAGGTTGGGTTATAATCAGAGCCTGGATTTATATGCAATGCCATATTTTTTCATGTATTTTTAATCTCGGATATCTTTACGAATCAACCTACTTAAATGCAATAAACCAAATTTTATTTTGCTTATTTGTTAATAAATGCATACATTTGAATATTTTACTTATTTAAATTAAAACATGATAACAAAATTTGAAATAAAAACTAAAATGTAACATTGAAGATAGAGTACTATATTATGATTGTAGGTTCATTAAAATTAACAACAAAAAAACTGCATATCAAAGAAATAACTCTACTTTCAATAATCAACTTCTAAGAACGTATATTTTTAAATTTCCCTACTTCCTATCTCTCTTCCCTGTACTTTTTAATTAACACCGCACTTAGTTTTGATTTCAGTTTGTTTTTAACTTTGATTACATGCAAAATTATTTATTATTCACAATATTTCTCAATTCTCCTTCGGTGCATACTATTTATTTTCAAGCTTATTAATTATTAGCCAATTTTACACCAATTTTTAAGTTTTGTCAACTTAATGACTACACATCTAATTACGATGTTTCGGCTCGTTGAGCCATTTTCAAGACAAGAATAAACAAATTTTTTATGAGTAGACGCATGCAATTCCCATAAGTGAAAAGGACAGGTACATGATGGGTATTTAGACTTGAAAATGGCTCAACGAGCCGAAACATTGTAATTAGATGTGTAGTCATTCAGTTGACAAAATTTAAAAATTGACTGATAATTAATAAACTTGAAAAAATTAGTTATTATTATTTTAAATGCCAGAAGTAAGTGCATAATTTTCTTCAAAATTGAAATGTTGGATTGACCCTTACAATACTAGACATGGAGCAGTTCTTATAAGTTGTGGAGATATTGTTTTTACATTTATTGTTCAAAACAAATTACTAGTGTAAGCAACATGTCAATAACTTCTACTGAATACAAATTTATTCCTATTATGTCTGTTGCTGTAGTAAGATCATTTTCTTATTATGAAAATATTTAAAAGGCAATTAGATATTCCAGAAAAAATTTAGAAATAAATAATAAAGTTAATAAATTTATGGTTTGTTTATTTTTCCTAGTTGAATTCAGTTGAGTATTTTTTTATAGAGACATCTCACTATAATATTACTTCAACACTTGAGGATGGTGTTTTTGAACACTTGAAAATGGTTGTTGAGAACATTAACTGGCATACATATATCAGAAACTGACAAAAGGAAAGGTGATAATAATTACATTTCAGAAAGCAACAATTAAACTTTAAAAAAAGAATTTCTAACAAGTAAAAGGAATGAAATTGTATTCCTATTGTATAATTAATAGCTAATTTATATTT